CCGAGGCTCACGGGTGGGGGAGGATTCTAATGCAGTTGATATGCTGTATTGCAGGCAGGGCCTGAAGGCCACCCAGGATGAGCTGGCGGCATCTGCCTTCCTCATGGTCCAGCTCGACGACTCCATGGGTGGGGCCCCCGTCCAGGTGGGCCAGACCGGCGTCCACATGCCTCTCCCCGCAAAAAAGCCAATTACAATCATTCTCAGTTATTACATGTGTACACCTGTTTTAACATTGCCTTATAAGTTGATTCCATCCAGTAAGACCATCAGGTAGTGGATGTCTTTCACATGAGATGCATGAATAATAATGAAAAGATGTAAAGGCCCCGCCCACAAGCAGCTGATGCTCCGCCCACTCAGGTGCGCGTCACACAGGGCCAGGAGCCACCGCACCTCATGAGTCTCTTCAAGAAGAAGTCCATGATCATCCACGGCGGGGGAACGTCCCGCAAAGGCGGCCAGAGCACCCCCGGCACCACCCGCCTTTTCCACATCCGCCAAAGCACCAGCCAGTCCACCCGCGCCGTGGAGGTGAGTCCGTCGGTCACAGCCGGCCCTCTGCGGAAGGTGCTGCCGCACAAAGGTCTCTGCTGCTCTACCTTTGAGAGGGATCCTTGCCACCTAAGTAGACAGTACCCAGCCGGACAAGTCACTTTGGATAAAGTGCTATATAAATACTATAGGCTATGCATACATATTCTATCCCATAATCCTCTGTTTTTCAGGATTCTGTTTGTGCACTGTGTGCTTTTTAGTTTGCACTACATTAATCGTTTGCCCTATCTGTACTGTCTTTGCTGTCATGACCTCAAAGAGTGACAAAATGCAGGCCGCACAGTCTGAACATAAATGCTAAAGATTTTAATTAAATTAATACACAAGGTATGACTGTGTTACATACCAGCAGCGTTTGGGTGTGTGGCGTTTTTTTTGCAAATGTGTTGAATGCAAACCAAGGAACGAAGAAAGAAACGCAGAAATATGCTGAGGCCAGGGAAGGAGGGAGCAGTGTGGAAGGACTGATTCTGTAACCGAAGCCCAGCCTGCAACATCTAATCAGAGGAAAAGTGACAGTGTACAGGGAAGAGCAAATATTAAGCCAGACTTCATCCATATCCCCCCGTCGCTGCTCACTGGTCTGCTTCTTAAGCTCGGTTAAGCAGGGAGTGGTAAGAAGCCCAGCCTGAGCACTTCCTGTCACCCCCCCCCCGCCAGGTGGATCCTTGCGCCTCCCGTCTGAACACCAACGACGTGTTCGTGCTTAAGTGCCCCACCTCCACCTTTATCTGGAAGGGCGTAGGCGCCAGCGGAGAGGAGGTGACCACCGGCAAGCAAGTGGCCAGCGTGCTGGGAGGAAGCCCCACCCAGGTGGAGGAGGGCAAGGAGCCAGGTAAACCGGGTCTGTGCAGCCCGCAGGCAGCCAGTAGGGGGCAGCATGTGGACTGATGTGGAAATAGATGAATCTGAAAACCATCATTCTGAGCCAGAGGCAGCAGGTTAAGGATATCACTTTGTAAGCCAGAGTATGTAGGTTCAGGATCCCTCCTGCTGTAATTAGAACATCAGTTCTATAAATAGGCTGTTGCTTTGACAGAAATGTCAGCTACATTAGTGTATTTTAGTAGCTTTGAGTGATGATTTTTGAGCATTGGCCATATCGGCATGTTCTGCGTCTAGCTGGGATAGGCTTGTATTTGTGCCGCATGTCTGAAGCACATTTTCTGTGACAGATGCCTTCTGGACTGCACTGGGTGGGAAGAAGCAGTACCAGACATCCAAGACCCTGCAGCGCACGATTAAGCCCCCGCGTTTGTTTGGCTGCTCCAACAAGACGGGACGGCTCATTGTGAGTGGGGGCTGTCTGATCTATGGCGGGTGGGAGTCGTCCGTTTACATGCTGACGTCGTGACTAGGGATGCTCATTTCGATTAATTTTCCCAACCGACAACCGCCGTTCGTTAACCGAACATTAACCGTTAACTGATTAGATTAGAATATTAAATTCCTCTGGGGTCGGCGGTCCCGCCGGCGGGATCTGACAGAAATTTCACCAAACCATTTAAATAACTCTGCGAGGTTTTATCATATACAAAAAACGCCCTCAGAAACCTTGGACGGTCTACTTTTCAAATATATATATAGGTAGAAACTAAATATATTTTTATAG